AGCAGCAGCAGCAGCAGCAGCAGCAGCAGCAGCAGCAGCAGCAGCAGCAGCAACCTTGTTCTTTCTCGGAGCTCCTCCACACTCTCTGGGCCCTGACATTTATTTTCTCCTCAGAGTCCTCAGATTTAAACTCTCTGCAGCTGGTAAAGAGCGTCTCTCAGAGCCCACACAAAGCAAACAGTTTGCTGCTGTGGACCAACTGAATCAGTCCCACTTCCCACACCTGGGATTAAAACAAAACCATGTTTATATCCACAACAGATAATTTGTGCTCTCAATTCAGAATAAGGACCTTCACCTAGTAATTGATCCTTGGCGATATTAATGCTCCTAGTCCTATTTTGTTGCTTCATGACTGAAGCCTCATCTTTCCACCATGTTAACCATTGTAATTGAAGGCTAGGCTCTAAGATAGCTGTCACCAAATCTCTCCAGTCTTTTGGAATTATATTGTTTTTGCATCATTCAGTTATTAAGTATCTGTTGAAATATGATGAATGTCATTATTGCTTCCTTAAATCTTTGTAAATCTTGTGTCTTTATAGGTTACCACTCAAATTCTTTGTAAACCTGTAAATTTTCCTCATTTCCTTCTAATTGCTTTATTAATTGTGAATAAATGCCCAGGCCAAAACTTTGGCTTGTTTCCCAACTAGCTCATAACTTACATTACCTGTTTATTCTATTCTATGTATTCTGCATGGCTGTTTACCTCTCCTCAGTTTTATATGTCCATCTTTCTCAGAATCTAGGCCAAATCTCCCCTATCGCTCTATCCCAGGATTCATCTCTTTCTCTGGAACTCTGACCTCCTATTCCCTGCCTCAGCTAATGGGCCATCAGCTTTATACTGACAGATGACACTTCCATACAGTACACAAGAGCTTTTCTCAACAAGCCAGATACTCTCAGACTGTAGGGACAGGGGAGCCCATGGGAAGAATAGTATGTCTAGAAAACCAGGGCGTTACCTCTGGTGCCCTTTCTATTTCAGTGGGGAGTACCTCCATTTACCCGGTGAAGATGGCCATTAGAACCCAGTGGTCTTTATAAAGGATTGACAGGGACTCAGAAAGAGGACTTACAGGATGAGACTGAAGCCTGAGTAGGTCTCCAGTAGGTCAAGCCTCAGGATGAGTATGACAGAGTAAGCGGCCATGATGGAGAGTTTTAGCAGTAATGGAGATGTGGAACAGATTGCATTTTTATTTACTCAGGGGCAAAAAACTATATTATTTGGAAATAATAAAGTATGTGTGTGTGTATTTATATGTGTGTTTATCTGTGTCTGTGCATGCACATGTGTGTGTTGCATGGATATTGGCGCATGTACAAGTATGTGCATACATGCACATATGTGTAGAGACCAAGAGAAAATGTTGGGTGTCCCCTGCTATTCTCTACCTTACAGAGGGTCTCTTACTGAACTTGGAGTTTGCAATTTTTCAGTTAGGCTGGCTGACCAGCAAGCCCAAACAATCCTCCTGCCTCTGCACCCTTCCCCAGTGCTGAGATTATAGGTGTGCGTGGCCCTGGGTTTTAGTTACTTTTCTATCGCTGTGATGAAATGCTATGACTGAGGGATTACCGAAGGAAGGGTTTATTTGGAGCCTGTGGTTCTGGATGGATATGAGTCTATCACCATCGCAGTGGGGAAGCAAGGCATCAGACACGGCAGTAAGGACAGCAGAGTTCATCTCTCAAAATGCTCCCAGGAAACAGAGAGAACAAACTGCTTGAAAATGGCTCGTGGCTTTTGAAATCTAAATCCTGCCCTTAGTGACATACTTCCTCCATCAAGGCCACACCTCCTCATCATACCTAGTACCACCAACTGGGAACCACATTTCAAATGCCAGAGACCATGGGGGAACATTTAACATTCAGACTATCATACCATGCCTAACTTTTTAAAAGTTTCTTTTTGTGTATGTTTATAATGTGTGTGTGTGGGGGGGTGTTGTATGTTAGGGCATGCATGTGTCATGGCCTACCACTGAGGTCAGAGGACAACCTCAGGTGTCGGCCCCCACCTGCCACTTTGCTTGAAACAGGTGTTTCTTGTTTGCTGCTGTGCTGTATACCCCAGGATAGCCCAGTCTATGGTCTTCCAGGGACCTCTCCTATCTCTGCCTCCCATCTCACCATAGGAGTGCAGAGATTACAGACACAAGCATCCGGTGTTCTAGTTTCACCTCTGTCGCTGTGATAAAATACCCTGACCCTAGGGATGGCGGGAATTTATTCGGCTTCAGTTCCAGGCCCAGTCCATCACAGAGTAGAAGTCAAGCAAGAACTCAGACAAGTAATCACAGCACACCCACAGTCAAGGACAAACAGAAAAGTGTGTGCTCACGCTGCCTCCTTGACTGCTTGCTAACTTTCCTTTGCTCTTATTCAACATTGGATGCGGTTGGAGTGTTGCACCCAGTGAGTTGGGTTTTTCTACATCAATTCACAGTCAGTGAATAGTTGAAACTAATCAAGGTGGGTTCCAGGAAGTTGAACTCAGCTTGAATGGCAAGGGCTTTTGATACCTGCTGAGCCATCTCTTTGGCCCTTCCCAGACTTACCTATCTTTTTACCTGTGTGCTGGGGATTTGAACTCTTGTCTTCACAATTATGCAGCATGTGCCCTTACCCACTAAGCCATCTCCCCAGCCGTACAAGACAGCATCTTGAAAGGATTGTTACGACAATCAAAGGATTTGCCGGGAAAGGCACAGATAAGAGTGTCTAAAATCTTTAGTTTATAGATTTATTTATTTATTTGAAGTTGGCTCTTGATGTTCTTTTTTTTTTTTTTAAAGACTACTTTTCATTCTATTTATTCGTCTGTGTATATCTGTGTGAGCGTATGCACGCATGTGTGGATGGGTGTGTGCACAGGTACCAGAAGACAGCGGTGGGCGTCCTCCGTCATTCTGCCTGTGCCTCTGAAGGAGGGTCTCTCTTGACTGTGGAGCTTGTGTCTCACCTAGCTTAGAAGCCAGAAAGACACAGCGGTCCTTCTGCCTCAACCCCCTCCCCACGGTGCTGAGGTTACAGGCATTGTAGGGAATGCCCCGCTTGTTAAATGGATGCTGGGATCCAAACTGGAGCCTCGTGCTTTCACAAGCACTCTTAACTGTCGGACTCCCCAGGGCTTGGTGCTCTTTCGGAAAAGCAATGCTAAGTTTTCCATTGGTCTACTGTTTCTGAGGGCTCTCTTGTCTTTTGCTTTGAATGCTTGTTGGAAAATTGGATTTTAGGCTGGAGAGATGGCTCAGTAGTTAAGAGCACTGTCTGCTTTTCCAGAGGACCTGAGTTCAATTCCCAGAAACCACATGGTGGCTCCCAACCATCTATAATGTGATTTGATGCCCTCTTCTGGCATGCAGAAAAATTGGATTTTATCCCAAAAGGTGAGTAAATTTAGCTTAGCACTTAATAAGACCTGAAAGCTTTTCAGGTTGGCTAAAGATGTTCAGCTGTGTTGTTTTTAAACAAAATCTCAAATGTTCCACTTTACTAATAAAGGTTCAGGAGCCAGATGCTGGGGTGAAAGGCAGATAGCTCACAGAGGCAGAGCAGGCACCTAGCCGACATCCCAAGCAGAAAGTTAAAGGTGTGTGCAGGGCTGAGCCACACAACCAGAAACAGGTTTTTCCATTAAACAACACATTCTCGGCATTTACACTGTGTTCAGCTCTCCTGTAACACATCTGAATGCGGCTCCCTATCCGAAACAGTTCATAATAAGACATCTGGGAAATGACTGATAAATGTTTATACAATATTATTCATTGTTTTTTTTTTTTTTTATGTACTTCCCATCTAGGGGTTCAAAAGCCAAGCAGGGGCTGAGTGTGGTGATACACACTTATAACCCCAGTACTCAGGAAACAGATCTCTATGAGGTCAGCCTGATCTACATATCGAGTTCCAGAATAGCCAGGGCTGTGGTTCTCAACTTTCCTAATGCTTCAACACTTTTTAATCCTCCTGTTGTGTTAGTGCCCAACTGTAAAATTATTTTTATTTCATAACAATAATATTGCTACTGTTATGAGTTGTAGTGCAAATACCTGATATGAAGATGATCTTAAGAGACCCCTGTGAAATGTTCATTTGACCCCAAGGAGTCACAACCCACAGGTTGAGAACCACTGCCATAGAGAGACCCAGTCTCAAAAAAAAAAAATCTAAACAAATAAATAAGTAAAGTCAAATAGGTGGCCAAAAATGAACTCTCTCTCCATTGTAGTCAGTTGACAATAGAGACTTAAGAGGATCCCCCTCCATCCATCATTTTTACCTCTACCAGTGCCATTTGTAATGGTGGGCCACGGTCTTGCTGACTGTGAGAATTTCCTCCTATACGGAGAAGACTGTTCCCCCTCCAGCGACTGCAGCAGGCACACAGGTTACAGTACAATCTCCTGAGGTCTCCATGGCCTTTCTGAACAAGAGCACAGGTGACTTGCCAGAGCTGTAGGGTCCCTTTACAGGGGTCTCATTGTTCCCTTGGTCCTGGTTGGCCTTTGAAGGTCCTAGAGACCCTATATCCTCAGTGGTTGTGGTCTACATGTTTGAACACCCAGAAAGATGGCTTTACCAGCCATAAGGAGGTAGTAATAAATTGTAGTTTTAACTTTCATGTAAAAGCCTAGATAATAACACAAATTTCTAAATAAGTTCTGGTTTTGCTATGACTCAAGTCCACAAGTACTTCAGCTTCTGACAGACTTTAGCAGAAAACACAATTATTATGTCACTAAGAACAAACTAATATTTTCCAGAACCACATTATTTTAAACTGAGAACAAGATTTTTAGCTTTAGTCAGTGCACTGAATTTTAGTCCTGAGACTTGTAAATATATATATATATATATGTATATTTATATCATATAAATATATATACATATATAAATATATTTTTTTAAATTTCGTCATCTATAAACTTTTTGTGACATGGTTCAGCTTGCAAGTTTTGTCCTCATCTTTATTTTTCCATCTTTGGAAAGAAAAAGATCTGGTTGTTTTACCTTAAAACAAACTCTTATTTTACCATACAAAAATTCATCTTATCCACGAGACAGAGCAACATAATAAGTAAATTTACAATTTACTAGAAGAGCTGTTTGCATTCTGAGTCCCATTCATGGCATAATATGACAGTTGAAGGAACTCTTTTTGTGCACCCAACTTGGTGCACAAAAAGATCTGACTCCTTGATCTCCACCCGGAAGTGTGAAGCCATGACCATCTGCTTTGGTATGCTATGACCACTGAGTTTGGCTTTTGTAACCCGCTTATGCAGGTATTCAAGGACTGTTTTGAGGTTTCCTTGACTGCCTAATCTTCAAACAGTTCTTTGGCTTCCTGTAACTTAACTTCCCTGTGCAAGGACTTCTTGTGGTTTCTCCTTATAAAGCTCTTCCTTCACCCTCCTCTGGGCAGCACATCTCCCTGTGATTTGGCGAGTGCCTTTTGCCCTGCTAGCAGCTTTAGTGAATTTGGTTGGTTATCACCTGAATAGAGTCTGAGGATCTTTTCCTGTTGGTCTCCAGCTCCGTAACAGTGTAATCGCCTAATTCCCTGCCCACATGTTGCTAGCTGCAAAGTTCTTGTCTGTCACGGGTTCTAGGTAGGTTTTATTGGTGCTTGGATTTTTTTAAGGTACTCCTTGGACCCCCAAGAGTCTGGTACTCTCCAGCAAGACATGGCAAAGATAATTAAGTTTCCAATGACTTCAAATGGTGAACTTAGAACTTAGTGATTAAGGCAGGAGGGAAAACACAGTTATACATTAACTCAGCAATCATGACTTAGAATACAAAATGCATCTGCTCTTCTGAAGAACTGGGGTACAACAAACAGCTGCTTTTGCCCAGAAGACCAAAGGGTAAGAAAAGAGAAAGAGATGACAGTACCATGTGGACAGGAAGGAACCTTGCACCTGGGACCAGTGATGGAACGTTATATTTGGGATAGGGAAAGGTCTGTGTGCTTGAGTGACACTGAGGCCTTCATTAGCCACCTCAGGAAGGGAAAGCATGTCTTCGGAGAGAAAAGGGGATGCTTTTACTTGTTCCTTGAGTTACCAAAGATGAATGTCACAAGCAGGCATGTGAGAAAGTGTATTTTTGTAGACAAGGATAAGAAGTTGTTAGAAAGAGTTCTGCACATGGGGAGGAGGTACACTAGGAAGAAGGAAATTCAGAGGTGCGGAGGAAGGAGCAGGGTTGCCAGGTGGCTTGTGGTAGACCAACAGGAATGTTTCCAAAGGGAGAGTCATCATGGACACCACATTGGGCTGAATTTGAGAAGGATGGGTGAGTATCAGAGAACCCAGTAAGGCATAAATGGCACCACTGTCACAGGTGAGGATCAAATTTAGAACACTTATTGAGATTGCATCTCAAAGGTGAGTCAGGGGGATAGACAGTAGGATCCCTTGATGGTCACCTAAGAGGCAGCCCTAGCAGGCAACAAATACCACCCCTTGATGCTTTCAATGATGAGATACACTCTCAATGTGTTGACTTGGCCGAGAAATACCTTAGACTGGGGTGTCTCCTGAAAATAAGGACTCTCTCAGCTCATGGAAGTAAAGCCCAACTTGTTTCCAGAGCCAAATGAGTCCTGTTGGGTATCCTCCCTCTAAGGGATACCCAGAAATCCAAATTATCACACAGCAGTCGTGAGGGAGAAAGTAAAAACTTGGTTACCCATAGTTCTCTCAGATCAGGAAGTCTGATGGGGATGAGGGGCACACAGGCAGGCATAAATGTCTTTAGTCCTATGCTCTGTTCTCTCTCCCTCTAGAGCAGCAGCAAATGCCAGAGCATGGAAGGTGAATGGGAGGCCAAAAGGAAGAGTGAAAGAGTCCTCACAGTGTCTGCGGATTCACCTGGACAAACCACCACTGCCAACTCTCATTGCTTCACCAACTGTTATGAAAGTAGTCCCGTTGTCTCTCAGGTGCAAGCCTATGAGAACTTACCTGCTGTGTTTTTATAATTTTTGCAGTATATTTTTTCTTTAAAAAATACTTACTTTTAAAGATTTTATTTTTAATTTTTAAAAATTATTTTATTTTATGAAGATGGGTGTCTTGCCTGCACATAGTCTGTGCACATAAACCTCATACACGGAGACAAGAAGGGGTGTCAGATCTCATGGAAGTGAAATTACAGACAGCTGCTGTGTGGATACTGGTACCTCAAAGCAGCTTCCATGAAAGAGCAGCCAGTACTCTTCACCTCATAGCATCTCTCTAAACCTAAAGATTTTTTTTTTTTTACTTATGTGTGTCTGTGTGTCTGTGTGGGAGTGTCACATTAGTGCAGTACCTAAAGAGGCCAGCCTCAGTTCCTTTGGAGCTGGACTTATAGATTGTTCTGAGCTGCCTGACATGGGTGCTAGGAACCGAACTCAGGTCCCCTGCAAGAACAGTAAGGGATCTTAACTGCCAGTCCCAGCAGCTCTTCTTTATTACATCTTTTTATCTAGATTCTAGTCTGGTAAATACCTTTATCCCTGTGCCTTTGGCTCCTCATTCATGGCACATGATCAAACCCAAGAGAAGGTGGTGGCATTGCCTGTTCAGTCAATCTAAGGCAACTACTGGAGAATTCTCCTGCAGCTTCCCCTCCTCTCACCTGGCCTGGGGGCCTCTGCTGTCCTCTCTGACATGTTTAATTACCTAAGGATTTTATTTTCTGGCTAAAAACTTTTATTGTTGTTATTTCTTTTTTTTTTTCTTAACAATTTATTAATTATATATATCCCAATTGAAGCCCTTTCCTTCAACTCCTCCCAATCTTACCCTTCCTCCCTCTTCACCGAGTTCTCCTCTGCCATCTGCCCATAGCTTATCAAGTCTCATCAGGACTGCCTGGATCCTCTTCCTCTGTGGCCTGGCAAGGCAGCATATCCAGGGGCAAGTGATCAAAGAGCAGTCAACCGAGTTCATGACAGGCAGCCCCTGCTCCCTTTTAATCTGCTACTCTTTGACTTCTGATGGCCTACTTCACAGCTTTTATGTAGATATATGATTTTTGAGAGGATGATATCAAATGCTACTCTAGTCATCTCTTTAATCTGAATTGCCAGTTGTTAAGAAAAATTAAGTGCTAATGGCTCTGAAAAGTTTAAATTAGATTGCTACAAATCTCGGGATCTTCAGATCTCCCAGAGGTAGAAATGAACAAGAAGGCAGAAGAAAGTTCCTAGACAAGGCTTTTATTAGGAGCTTTTACTCTGTAGGAAAAAGGAAAGCAGCACGGAGGTTCGGAAGGATGAAGGAGAGGCAGCTCTGCTACGTTGGGGAAGCAAAGCAGTGACACACACGTGCTGGGAGGGTTAATGTTGGTTACCAACTTGGCTACATCTACAGTCAACATCTACAACCCACCTGGGCACACCTGGGAGGATTTTTTTTTTTTTTTTTTTTTTGGATGAATTATTTGAAGTCAGAAGACCCACCCTAAATCTGGGCCACACCTTCTGGCGGCAGCCCGCATAAAAGGACGTGGAAGAAGGAAGCTTCTTGCCTGCCGCCCGCCCTGTAAGTTCTCCCCTATCCCTGAGGCATTCCATTGCTGGTGTTATTCCAACGCAGCTCTCCAGGACCTCCCTGAGACAGCTGACAAATTCAGTCTTGTGGACAACTTACTGGATCTTTGGCTTTTCCATCAGGAGACAGCTGCTGTTGGACTACTCAGACCACAAGCCTGTAAGTCATTCTAATAAATCCCCCTTTTTCAACCACATGCAGCAATTTTGGCCAGGCTTTTGGCAAGTATAGTTATCTCTGGGGAAATCCAGTTTTATAGGCCTTTGTCTTTCTTTCACCTTCAGTTTCTAAAATGACTCTCCTCCAAGGGCAAAAGTAGATTGTTTAAAAATACAGAATCCTGAGCTCTCAGCCCTGTCTGTGCAGCAGGTAGATGTTAGGATCTCTGACAAGCTGTGCCCCGTTATCTGTCACAACAAATGGAGGAAGGTTAAAACAAATGTACAAAAAAAAAAAAAAAGTCACCAACCCTCAAAGAAAACCACAGGTGATTGTGTTATTCCCTTCCTCTTACTGTAACTTATGCTCTTGGGATTGCTGCTGTCATTTCTTCTCCCCATTGGAGGGTGAGCTGTTGCACAGCTCTTCTAACTCCAGCCTCAGGGGATTCAGACAGCTTGAAAAGGCCTTGGCGTCTTCTCTCCCTGCACACCCCCCCCCATGGTAACTTGAAACCATTATTTGTTCTTACTCCCCAGTCCCTAGAAAACATACCAATTTACAAACAAAAGGAAGCAGTTTTCTGAGAAACAGACCTCCCCAGGGAAAAGGCGGGCCCTCTGTGCAGCAGCCTCCAGACTTCTCAGCGTTGGGGCCACATTTCCCATTCCCTCTTTATTCGTAACCCTTACAGCCCCAAAAGCCAAGAAATGACTAAGGAGTGCCAAGAGGTGATAGTACTAGGGGGACCCCACATCTCAACTTCTGCGACCACCACCACCACCGTTAACATGCCCGTCGAGGTCTCCGAGCCCGATTATGTGGTCTGGTCCCTGTTCAACACACTCTTCATGAACTTCTGCTGCCTGGGTTTCATAGCCTACGCCTACTCAGTGAAGGTATCGTATGTGAGCCTCAAGCCTGACTTAGCCAGATGGCACCTGGGGGCGGGGGCCACCCTGTGCCTGTGTGTGAGAGTACGTATGCACCATCCTTCTTATGTGTGTGTTGGGGAAGTATCCAGGAAGGTGCTTGGGGATCCCTGGGTCAGGCTATCTCCGACATAGCCTACAGCCTAGAGGAATTCTCCTTACTTCCTGGTTCCTGGGAAGGTCTCTGAAGCTTAGGACTCCAGGCTGGGGGGAAAGCGCACAAGGACTCACAGGAAACCATGGAGTAGGTGCCCAGTGCTGGGTATTTCTGGGTAGTCAAGAGTGTGTGAAAGTGGAGGCGGGTCCCTGGCCTGAAAAGAAGAGAGAAATGCAGTGGGCTGGGAAGATGATGAGGGAACTGAGTCAGGACCCTTGTCTCTCACCTGACCACTTCCAGGGCCACTGACCATCTGGTTTTCTCCAGTCTAGGGACAGGAAGATGGCAGGCGATATGACTGGGGCCCAGAGCTACGCCTCCACTGCCAAGGGGCTGAACATCAGTGCCCTGATTTGCAGTGCCCTTATGGCCATTGTCATCATCATTTTTTATGCCACTGTGATCTTCTAGCAACCTCACAGTAGAAAACATTCTGGGACCTTCTAGTCTTGCTTTGTGTTCCACTGTCCACAGCTGCCCCAAACCCTAGTCTTAGTCCTGACCCTTGACCCCACATCTGTCCACAGTGGGTTCAATAAAGTGCATGTGCTATGACTCTGTTCCTGGACTAATCCTGTACTGAGCTGTACTGTACTGTGCATCTTCCCAGTCTGAGGCCAGCAGGGTTTCCTCAGCTTGGCAGGTGTCTGGCCACCAGCAGCAGGCAGCAGCTGACCAGAGTTCTTCGTGCGAAGGAGGGGTTATGAGCTCTGTCTGCTTCTGGCTTCATGTCCCCATGGGGCCAGAAAGGATACAGAACACGATCCAAGGAGTGTTCAGCCCACTGACTTTTGCCCGTTGAGGTTCCTGTCTACCTTCTAGCTAGTCAAATTACATGCCAGGGCTCTGTTGAGGACCTCTGTGTTGGGGCTCTGGGCTCCTGAACTGAGCCCAGTCACAACCCTCCGGGTCCTGCGCTGGGGGCTGGTCATCCCTGGTCCTTTCATCTTCCAACTTCGAGTGTCTATTTCAGGTCCTAGGGTGGGCAGTTTGGGGTGAGGGCCCCACAGTGCCCTTGTTACTTGCAGGCCGAGAACTCAAAGGGCGTCTTTCCAGTTTTGGGGGAGTCTGGACATGCTAGCTCCCCCTTAACCTTGGCCACGCAGCAGCAGCAGCATTATTGTGCATTGTCCTCCCCCAGCAGATCTTGCCATACACCGAACCCAGGTGTGGTGGCCACATCCACGCTTGCGCCTCAAGTTTTCAAGTCTCTTGGAGTCCCCCAGGGCATCGCTGCTGGCTCTTGATGTCCAGTTCTTCAACTCAGTGGTGCCTTCGAGGGAGTACTTGCTTGTGGTTCCCAAGGTTAACCTCTCACAGTCCACCCAGCCTTTTGTTTGCCCTGTGTCTGTGGAACTTGCCCCTCCCCCACCCCAATTCCTTTCCTCCTTAAGCCACCCCAGTGGCTCTGAAAGTATCCAGAGTTCCTAGGGGAGCTCAAGGGTCTGGGGTACCCTTGGTGTCAATGCGGCGAGTGCTGGGGTGGATTCAGCCAGGAAGCAAACCACCTCTTAACAGGAAGGGGTGGGGCTAATTGGCGCAGAGTGACAGAGCCCCCTACAAGGTGGATGCCGGCCGAAACTTGTCTTCCACCCCTGTCTGTGGCAGAGTAGCTCAGCCCAGCAGGGGAGCATAACCACTCACGAAGGACCTAATTAGTGTGCAGAGCAGCCACCTAGTTTCCCAACCTCCCCGGATGCCCAGCACAGTGAGAGGAAAGGCAGAATGAAGGCTTCAGAAGTGGGGCCATCCACCACCTCTCTGCATTCGGGAGCTGTGTCCTAGGACAGCCAGCCCGCAGGACTTTTTTATGTCCCAGAAGTTTCCTGTTCCTGAATTCTGGCATTATGGGAAAGAGCTAGGTACTGAGGGGAGAGAGAACTAAATAACTGAGGGGGAAATTATCCTACATCAGAATAGGAAGAGTTCCTGTCCTGGAACTCAAATCAGAACTTGTCCCTGGGCCCCTATCTCCTGTTTAAGGTGGGAGTCCTTGGGCCATTCCCAGGTACGGGAGTCTCCTCAGCTCTGGGGCTGGTGAACAGCTGTAGCAGCTCAGAGCCACAGCCAGCCTCCACACAGCCACTCCCGGAGCACGGCCTAAGCTTTCGTCCACTGAGAGGGCCTGCTCTGATGACATTCATGGCCTTTCAAAGCTTGGCTGATTTGATGCTGGTGTGAGCTGAGGAGCTGATGCCATTGGTCTGGATGCCTTTTGGCAGACTGAAGGTCTGTGTTGGGAGACTGGAAAATTCCAGTTACTTGGCGGAAGCCTGAGAATTCCTGAAAGGCAGATGTTTTCCTGCCAGTTATGAAACAACCATCATGAAAGCGATGCTTGCATGAGATGGCAATATGGGGAACTCCAGTTCTATCCCACGGAACCAGTGAAAGAGCTGATGTCAGAACTGAGGTAAGGGGCTGGAGAGCACCTGCTGCTCTTCCGAAAGACCCAGGTTCAATTCCCAGCACTACATGGCAGCTCACAGCCCTCTGTAACTCCAGATGTGTAGAGAAATCCAACACCCTCTTCTGGCCTCCCTGGGCACCAGGCAGGCACATGGTGCACAGAAATACAGTGCAGGCAAAACACCCATACACATAAGATAAAAATAAATAAATCTAAATACTTTTTTTTTTTTTTAAGGAATCAAAATAAGAAGCAAGGGGTCTAGTGGCAGGTGCCCACCTTTAATCCCAGCACTTGAAAGGCAGAGGCAGGTGGATCTCTGAGTTAAAAGCCAGTCTGGTCTACATGGAGAGTTCTAGGCCAGCTAGGACTACACAGAGAAACCCTGTTTAAAAAAACAGAAAAAGAAAAGAAAGAGGAAGGAAGGAAGGAGGGAGGGAGGGAGGGAGGGAGGGAGGGAGGGAGGGAGAGAAGGAAGGAAGGAAGGAAGGAAGGAAGGAAGGAAGGAAGGAAGGAAGGTAGGTCTTTTGTGGTGAAAGACACACATATCATTAGCCAGTTTAACCAATTCAGTAACTTCACATGGATCTGACTTTCCAAATGTCAGTGCATGGCAGGATGGATGAAGGATCAAAAGCCGTGGGGGGAGGGGAGAATCCACCCTGATGCCTACCATCTGCCTGAGGAGGGCATCATCTTGGTAGGATGTAAGCCCAAGAATAGGCCACTCTGGACATATTAAAGTCCAAGGTTCACCCTGTGAGGTTTCCTTCATTCTCGGAAAGTGACTGGCAAGAAATCAAAACCTGTCAAAAACCACCGCAGAACAGGTTGGGTAGCAACAACCTCAGATACAAGCCACAGTCACCATCATGCCTCCTGTCTTCACCAGACTCTACCAACGGAGACTGCTCTGTGGGTCTCTATCCTGCCTTGGCTTTGGCAAGAAAGTATCAATAAATATGAAGTAAGCAGAGACTGGAAAGGACTTTTTGAGTAAGGCTCATCTTTTGACTCACCCTTAGCAGGAGTAGAGAGAAAGCTGGTTCTTCAGCCCTGAGTTAAAACATGACCCACCCAACCCCACCTCTTTCCCACAGGGAGAGCACGCATGACTTCCTTTCTGAGACGATCACTCTGCGGCATTGTATTATAAAAGCCAGCTGAGACATGCAGCTATTATATGCCTTTATATATTATAATTTATATTTTTATTATATATTTGTTATACATAAATAATAAATTATATTATATTTAAATCATATATTATTTATATATTACATGCAGAAAACAAAGCCTAATTGACACAGTAAACAAACAATAAAAGGGCAGAACAAAACCCAAATGCAACTGTTGCCTGTGAATTCCCAACACAGTACACTTAGAGGCTTTATAGCCTGAGAATACGGAACAGACCTGGGACAGGAACTGACAAAACCACAGAGAAACGCCACACGCCGAATAATAATCACGCAAAGCTAAATAAAAACGGCCTGAGGAAAAGGCACTAAAAGCAACATGATTACAAGTACTTGAGAATATCATATATGCCCTAGGATATTGTATATCAGAGTGAGATTAACATTCGAGAAAGACAGCAATAAGTAGATTGATAAAGGCATATAAATACATATATGTCAGTCAATTTCCATATACCAATAGTATAGTAATAGCCCTCAAATAAATGAAAATTTAAATTGCATGTAAACTGTTTCTGGCCCGGTAAGCAGAATGAGGCAGAAACAGAATCACCTGACTTATATAATTAAAACATAGTGAACGTGAGCTGCATGATGCAATCTAGTGCAGAAAGGCATGCACATACTTACTGGTGTTCGTCAGTTTTCTATTCCTGTAACAAAAGACCTGAGACTGTTAACTAATGAAGAAAATGGCTTTGTTTTGGGCTCACGGTCCTGAAATTCCATCCAAGGCCATTTGCTTTGAGATCTGGCCAGCGCTGGTGCATCGCAGGGGAGCATATAACAGCAGATGCCAGCAAAGGTCAGTGTCCGCTGCCCTCTCCAGGCCACGTCCCCAGTGACCTGAGCACCTCCCACTAAGACTCATGTCCCCTGATCCACTACCTCCCAAAAGGCAAAGAAATTAAAAAGCTGCAGTGAATCCAGTGTACTGGAGCCACTGAACTGACCCTCACTCAGGGAGTCTGGAATCAGCATCAGCCTGAATATTATATTTGGTGGTTAATCTTAACTGTCAGCTTGACTGTCTTTAGAATCACTCATGGGAACCTAGTTGTTTCTATGGAGCTGACTGAGAAGGGAAAATCCTCTTTGGGTGACCCCACAGGCTGGGGTCAGGGACTGGAAATCTCTGAGCACCACTGTTCTGCTTCCTGACTGTCTGTGCCGATGTGGACAGCTGCCTCACATTCCTCTGCCATGCTTTCCTCGCCATGACGGCCTGTACTCTTAGGTTGTGTTAGATCCCAAGAAAACTCCTTTTCTCAAAGTCTGGCATTTAGACAAAAGCCAGAATTTCCTCAGGGACTTAACATAACTCCTACTTGGTAAAAGGAGTTATTCTCCCTGGATAAGCCATTTTGGCTACATGCTATCTTGGCTCTTCTCTTGGCTTCCACTCCTAGATCCCTCATCATCCATTTGCCCTCTCTCCTCTTGCCTCTTTCTTTTCTTCCTCTCTCACTCTCCTCCTCTCTCTCCTCTCAGTTCAGTCTAGACTCTTTCTTATGCCTGTGGCTCCATAGGAGCAGTCATGTACTAATTTTGATTCATCTGATGAGTTATATAGGAATCAGAGAAACTGGAGCAAGGGAAGGGAAGCTGAGGGGCTGGACAGGTTTAGGATAGAGGGCAGGGTTTGGCAGACAAGATGACTCTGTAGCAAGTACTTGTAATTAGGGACTGAGGGAGCCTAGAGACTTATAGACATAGGTTAATGGAGGTGTCATATGCCCCTTTGGCCAGAGATAAGGAAAATGACTCCTTTTTAGCAAGGAAGAACTGTCTTATTTTTAAAAATAATTTATTTATTTTTATTTTACGAACGTTGACATTTTTGCCTTCATGTATAACTGTGTGAGGGTGTCAGATCTTGGAATTACAGACAGCTGTGAGCTGCCTTCGACGAATTTACTTTTCTCTTCACCCACGGGAATACTGTC